CCATTTGAACTCACTCGGTTCTGTAACTGTATGCATCATGTTCAAAGAGAGATCTGAGCCAGTTCAGCAATCTCTGATCTGGTTTGCATGATCACTGCAGCCTGTTTAAACTGCTGTGCATGCTGGATGCTAATTGCCTAATTACCCACCCAGGAACAACATGTCATGTTGTTTAAGGCAGCATGGTTTGTTAGAGGGGAAAACAATCTCTAAATAACCCATGGACTGCTGTTGGATTGTTTGAGGGTTGTTTATTCCTTCAAGCCATGCCACAAAGTGTGCCCTGGTGAATATTTAGGCAAATACTTGGCCCACATCAGTCTATGTCTCAAGTTGCACAAGTCACCACGGCTTGGTTAAGCTGTGGTGATCATGTGGACAAGGCCACTAAGAATGGGCATAAGATTTGATCTACTATTCAGTCTCAAGGGGCTTTGGAGTGGATTGGCAAGGGCTTCTGAATTCCATCTGTTAATGAAGGCACAAGAAAACGTATGGTGGGGAGCCAAGAATGGATTTTGGGATGAAAGTACTAAAACTCACTTCTGCTACTGCCACTGAAATAAAATACTTGAGCTAAGTACGTGGTTGAAAGCACCTGTAGCTTATTCTAAGTGTATGTCTAATTCCTGTTACACTATTCTGCATATGGCTGTTGTTGTTGTTGTCCTATGAGCCAGAAGTCTGTCTAATCCTGCAGCACATGAGAATGGGTCTAGATCAGGGATGGGCAACTTGTGGTTTTCCACATTTTGGCCTACAACTATCTGAGTCTGCTTAACAATTGGTGAGGGATGATTGCTATACATCAATACAACAAATTGCCCACAGCTGATCAAGAGCCAAACTTCAGATTCAAGTTTTGTAAAAGCCCAAAGATGCTAATTGGCAGACAAGGTGAGTCATTAGCAGCTTTATTTAACAGCAGCAGATTTTATTGCCTTTTCATTTTTTCCTTCCAGGTATCCCACACAACCCTGCCGTTTTGGGAAACTCTTGTTGCTTTTGCCAGCTTTACGTTCAATTAGCCCTTCTACGATAGAAGAAGTATTTTTCAAAAAAACCATTGGGAATGTGCCAATTACAAGACTGCTTTCAGATATGTACAAATCTAGTGACATATAAACTTACCTGGCAGGAGACAACAATGATCAGAGTGACCATTTTTGAAGAACTTTTGAATCCATGGAGAACAAGCATCAGCTAACAAACTCTACAAGAAGTGGAAGCCCAGATGTATTTAATCTATTGACAAAATAAACCCAGTAGAGATAAAGTTCTGCGGCCTTGAACAGAGCATCTCAAGTACTTGGGAAAATAGTGTGATCCACCTAAAAATGGCTGTGGATCACTCTTGGCTGCTGCTTCTCCTCTAGCAATTTGGTGGAGCCAATTCAGTTGTCATTCATAGTTAACAAAGGCTGTGCTAGTCTGTCATTTAGCCAGCAGATTTGACAGGGTAAAGAATAAGGTATTTAGGGTTTGTTTGTTTTTCATATTTTGAAAAATTGGGTAACCAAACATTGTTCTGTTGTAATGTGTCATGAGGTGGCCTTCACAAATGTTTTAATAGCTTATTGATGAATCCTTTTTATATGAAAGGCAACACTGAACAGTAGGTTCTCAAAAAATTTACTTCAGTTGTAACATAAGAAGAGTGGCCTTCATAATGAATTTTTAAGTGCCATATTCTGGCAAACATCTGTTGGATTCAATAGGCTAGGCCTCCTGTTGAAAAGCATAACAAATCATTGGACTTCATGCCTAAGTCTTGCCAACATTTCAGTTTAACATCTCAGACAGAAGAGCTTTAAAACAAAAGGTTTTTTTTTTTTTAAATGCATGTTAAGTGAAGACTAAACAGCAAAACCAAATAAAAAAATGGAGAGGATTGATACAGTGAACTGATCGCTGTTCCACCGGCATAGAGCTGAAACCAAAGGCAATGGTGGCCAAACTCTTTGTCAATGAGATGTAGAAGAAGGTACCTACTTTACAATAAATTGTTTAAAAATCTTACAACTGATAGAAAGGATGATTGATCAATACAATCTAATATGTCTTTGAGACTCTAGTGGCTTTTTAGAAAATTCCAGGTCCCAATAAATATTTCTCGTACACCTTCTCATCCCCACAAACACATGTTATGAGCTGCTTAATTTGATGAGACTATACTTATGGAAAATGTAGGAAAAATAAAGATAACCACTGTACTTTTCAAGTTTTTATTTGTTTTAGGAAATAGCACTGAGGAAGGAGAATCAGCACTTGAAGTATCATAGAATGAGTAAAACTTCTCTTGTACAAAAGTGGATTAACTGATTTGTGAAGTTAAGGTTGTACTCATTGTATTTACAAAGAATAAAAAATATATTAAGTTTAAAATGGTATGGCCTTGATGAAATATTGCTCCGCACTGATGCTGCAACTCTAAAATAATTACTAAACCGCTGTTTGTTTTCTTTTAAAGTGTACTAAGATTTGTACTAGCTCTTTTTGAAAAAAGCATCCTATAGCTCATGATTTTCAGCTACTGTTTCATCCTAAGGAAATGTCTCATTTAGAATCAAATAACTAGTTTTCTTTCCTCAAACTGATGGGCAATTAGCAAATCAACTAATAAAAACGAAGTACAAAATTGGCTCTAGATTAAGCTTGCTGAAGTTCTGCCAGACTTCAGTGGAATGCGAGTGTTATGCCTTTCAGTAAATATACTTTACTAATAATTCCAAGATAACCAGTTCCATCTGCTCCCGGTTGTAGACGTGAAGGCCTTTCATGTAACACATTTTTCAGGATATCATTGCCAACAAGACAGTTGACTCCAAAGAGCCATACACAGTGCTCCATATTTGCAACCCATATTCTAAGGCCTCTCCTAACAAAATTAGGCTTGAATTATCTGTGAACGTTTGTGCAACAACTGATGCAGTTCTAGCGCAAAAAGCAACTAACAGCCCTGTCTTAAACACATGCAGGGATTTTGGAGCCTAGCCAAAGAAGAGAACTCCCTGTGCTATTTTCCAAAGTTCTTTATGAACAAGGGTCACAGCCCAGGAGTAAAGCCTATGCTTTGCACACACAACTCCCAGGTTCAGTTTCTAGATAGGTTTAGGAGAGACTCCTGTCCAAACCCTGGAGAATCACTGCAAGTCAATATATGGAGTACAGAGCTGGATGGATCAACCCTTTGACTCAGTGTAAGGCAGCTTCCCATGAGCATTTGCATTCTTCATTTTACAGCTGGCAGTGGTACTGTGAACTACCCTTGAAAAGATGGCAGAGAGCTTGACAATGCTTGCTGCCAAGATAATTTGAAGCAGTTGTAGGTTGAACTAGAGGCTATGATCACAGTGGCTCAATGCCAAGTTTAATAAATAACATAGAAAAGGAATAGTACAGTAGCAGTTAACAGCATCAGATATGTCATACTTGTGGCCAGGATGGGTATACCAACCTAGATCTATGGGATCCCATGTCAAGCCTTAGGCTATATCAAATCCTTTCCAAATAATCCTAGTGGATTTTCTGACTACTCAGTGAGCACTGTCAGAATAGAACCAACCAGGTAGTCTATCCCGATAATTCTATGAACTGGAGGCATTTTTTAAAACGAGGGCCACATGCTCTGGTGCTGGGGCTAGATTGTACTTGCATACTTTTTTGCAGTGTGGAAGTTAAGTGTAAGGACATTTGAAAAGAAAACCACAAGAGATAAACTAAATAGTCACTCAGTAGGAAGACAGGAGACAAGCCACAATATTGACATCTCCAAAATAAAAATACAGGCAAAGATAGACTGTCCAGCTCCAGCACCTGACTGACCACACAAAACAGAAAAAACACACACTGCTAGGCCTGAATATTAGTGCTATTATAGCATGATCATTCATTAGCTATAAAGCTTCTGCCGCCTGAATGAGTACAATGGTAACAACACATCCCGTAACAATTTCAAGCCACAGGATTGTGCCATGTAATGCAACTAGTTTTCTAAACCATGCAGTAAAATGGGTCTGCTATCTGGTGCCTTCCTTATCAATGATTTGGACTACAAATCCCATAATACAATTATCAGAGCCCCAGCAAGACAAATCTAGCTTATAATGAATGCTGCTCTTTAGAATTAGAGCAAGGGGAACTACAGCCTTGATTCAGAAGGCAGTAAACTGTAATTACGTCATCTTTAGACCAAGAGGGTATCAACAAGCATCACTAGCCCAGTTAGAATAAACCAGCAGCCCAATCCTATCCATGTTTACTCAGGTTTCCACCACAGAATTGTAGCTTACCAAGAAAGAATATTTCAAGTCAAATGAAGGCAAATAATTTCAGAACCCTTTATATTAGTGAGTGGATGGTACATTCAGCCTGCAATATATTGTAGTGAAACATCTGTCTAGGAGGAAAGCCAACATTATTGTTATCCCACCATTGCAGTAAAAGACGTTATGTGCATTTTTACTTTTTATTTCAAAACAACTTAAGACAAATGATCTTAGTATACAAATTGGATTTCTTTTTTTACACAATATAAAGATAGTTCCCTCATTGCCTCAGTACAAAGGTTTGTTTTTTTCCAAGCTTAAGGTACAACTAGAGAAGTGCTTATTTTATACAAGGGGGGGAGTTGAAAACAATGCACCATGTTAATCACTGAATTTGCAGGCTGAATACTAGTTATTTTACGGAAACATTCTAGTGTTTTAAATCAAATAAAAGTGAACGTGCAACACCAGTACAGTGCAAGTTCAAGTAAGGCCAAGTCAGTAATCAGCACAAGGTCATTGCAAAGGAACAAAAGAGTTTCAAAACTAGATTTTTAAAAGCCTTTAAATCAATAGTCTGACAGCAGATTCACCTAAAGTTCTTTAATGCCATAAAATGAATGCAAAGACCAAGCAGTGCCATTAGTATACTGAAGGCTTCTTGTGCTGTTTGTCTGCAGCATGCTAAAACCTTAAACTACAATTCTTAGACCAAGTAAATTCAACACTAACATTTATGCCAGTTAACATGTGGTGCAGCATTCAAGCATGTCTTATTTTGGATGGTGTGTAGCTTTTGTCTATTACTTCGTCTTGCAAGAACATATGAAGACAGCGCTCATTCTGTGCCAACGGGTGACCAGCAACTCTAGAAATTAAAAATGGAAAGGTTACATGCCTCTTCCAATTTTTAATCTGTTCCGCAGTCTAAACTCACATGAGAGGCTATTTGGCCAACAACCTGCTTCTAAGTACCCATATCAAAGAATATACCCATACACTTTATTTAGGGTGGGACCAGATGTTCATCTGCATCCAGTAGTACAACAAGTGGTAATTAGCAAGTCCACTGTCTACTCATGGAGCTATGTGCAACAGCACAATGTAAAGACTTCTAGAGTTAACTTCTCCCCTTCCAGAAAAGGCAGAGATACTAAATGTTGCCAGGACTAACACCCATCTTTAACATGTGACAAGCACAAAGCACTTTAAAGAGGCGCCATCACTTGAAATCCTTCATACTGTGACAAATCTTCATTCCTGATGAAGATTAATGATTTGGTGGCAGAATTCTGAAGTGCCTCCACCACCAACAGGAGGGAGAATATGGATAGAATTCATTAGCTATTTGCAATATTTCCATACACCTTTCACACAGAGGCCCACTGGCAAAACTATCATATCTGCAAAAGCCAGATATGATAGTTAAAGAAAGCATCCAAGAATCTAGATCACTCTTCTCCAATGCGGTGTACTTGAGAGGTTTTGGATTACAACTCCCATAAGCACCAGCCAGCATGGCCAATGGACAGGACTGGAAGAAGCAGTTGTATTTCAATGTATTTTATCATGTTGTAAGCCGCCCTGAGGTTTCGGCAAGGGGCGGCATAGAAATGTTAATAATAATAATAATAATAATAATAATAATAATAATAATATCTGGAGAGCACCAGATACTGGGAAAGGTTGACGTGGCCATTTGTGCTCCTGGATGAAGCGCGACAACTGAATAATGGGACCTCTGCAAAGACTCATGGCCTGCCTATTCTAGCAGTGACGCTTGCTTGCAGGCTCAATCCTGCTGAGTCAGAGGCATCCTAGGTCCTCCTGCAGTTCCAATTCCCCTAACTATATGGTAAGCCTGGAACATTATGCATGCACTTGGTGCTATTATACTACAATTTCAATTAAGGCACTATTTTAACAGCATGAAAAAAATTGCCAGCAGGAAATACCACAGTGGTAATAAGCAGCCTCAGATCTACTTCCGTCATGTGTATTTTTAAAAGATTTGGTTCTTCAGTGCAATCTACTCATGTGAGTTTCTGCACAATTACAACAAATTTGCCTTAGTCAACTTAAAATTGTTATCACAAAATCTTCTGCCAGAATAGATATCTTAATCTTTAAGGTAGCCCAAGATTTTTTGCATTGTTTCTGCTGCTGCAAAAGGCTTCCATGGCCACCCCTCTGAAAAATATTCCAGAAAATATTCTCCCAAATAGCTATTTCAAATGGACTCAGACTAGACACTTAGAATAATCTTTTGATTTGGCAACACTGATCTTGAATTCATGAAGCAAAACAGGATGGGGCATAATGGGAATCAAAAATAGCCTGCTTCTAACAAACCCTAAGGAGACTTGGGTGGTGGGAGGGAATCACTTTTGTAACATGGTACAGGTTTTCGGGTCCCTATTTCATTCTGTTTTTGATTTCAGAAGTTAAGGAAAGGAACTATGTGTTGAATGGGGAGAGCCCAACCTCTTGTTCTATTTTCTCCCTTTCCTGGACTGGAAAGCCTAAACTATCCTACCCCAAGCTGGTACCCACCAAACGTTTGGGACTCCCACTTCCAGCATTCCTGACTACTGGCCATGCAGGCTGGGGCTGATGAGAGTTGGACTCCAAAATATCAGGAGAGTAGCAGGCTGGTACAGGGTGGCCAACATAAATTGTAAAGCTTGTGCTCACGTGCCTTTCCCTTCACTGCCCTCTTCAACTTGAGGGAATAATCTGAGCGCTAAAGCCTGAGCATGTGATTTTGTAGAGTCAGCCACCAAAGAGGCACTTCAGATTGCAAAGATAAGCACGACATTCCCTCAATCCACTTTGACATAAAAATTAAATATGCAAGTATGTTACACAGCCTGAAAGGCTTGTAGTCAGTTTATAACTGAATTGTTCCAGCTGATGAAAAGTACATCCCCCTCCCCCAGCCTTATTTGTATGATTCTGTCTTTACATGCTGTAATTTTAGCAATTTGCATAAATTAAGAAACAAAACCCAGGTCACTACAAATACTTCAATCATTGTGCAAGTGTTAAGCATTCGCAGTCCACTGTTCAGCTTAGATACTGATGGTGTTTAGACAGCTCAACAGTGGAAAGTAGTTCAAGAGTCTTTTACCATGCAAACTGAGCTTTGCTTTATATTAGCACAAGCTTCGCTGGTCCTGAAAAGGTTTCAGTGCAACATTAGGTGTCACCTGCATCATGTATAATCTGATTGTATATTAACACCATAGCTAGGAACTCATACATACCATCATGCATTTTGTTAATGCAAACAAGAAGTCTTGCGGCACCTTAAAGACTACCAAACTGTGGTATATAATTTTGTGTCATGCACCTGAAAAAATGGACTCCAGTCTGCAAAAGCTTATGCCATAGCAAACGTATTAGCCTCTGAAAAAGACTGTTGTTTTTTCTGCAATTCCCCTCCAGGAATTCTATTAAAGTTTCTGGACAACAGACGAAATAGCCTCTTCCACTTACTTGTTTATGAATTGTTCGAGGCCTTGCTTCCTTTCCTCTATAAAGGAATCATCAAATATGCCATCATCTCCTCTAAAAGGCAATTGCCGGAGAAAAGCTTTTCCAGGTAACGGAGGTACAACAACCTGAAAGGCAGATAGAATGTATTATAGTAACTCCATTATGTGGAAAATTAGAATGCCCACTTTATATCAAGAACACCTAAAACATTATAGGTGTTCTGTGAAAGCCAAATATGCTTTAACTTAAAGTTGAGATTGACCCTGCCTTAGGAACATGGCACTCAAGATGCACTGCTGATTTAATGTGGAAAACACACATGCACACAAGTTTAATATAGTGTAAAGATACAAAATGGCTTGTACTAGAGATGCTTCCGTTATAATTGATTAAATAAGCAATCTTCTCCAACATCAAGCCATTAAACTCCCTAGAAAAAGTTTGCCTTACCTTGCTCTCTCTTTCAAGTTCACTTCGAAGCCATTCAAAGTCGCTATATCTTCTTCTAACACAAGACTCTTTCAGTTTGAAGATAGGAAGATTTGTCTGAAAGAAAGGTGTTCCATCACTGTCAGTTCCATCTGACTGAATAAGGGCGCAGGGCCATACGTGGGCTTCAGCACCCCATCTCTTCCCTTACGGTGCCCTGCACTCAAGGTGCCCTGCTCATTTAATGCACCAGAAGTGTCAAGCCTTAATGCAGCTGTGTGGATTTTAGGTGGGTTTTTCTAGAAGCCGCACATCTGCCCTGCCACTACCAGAGGACCAGGGTACAAGTTTAAACATATATGGAAGATTGTATAGCTCTGGTTTGTATGCACATCAACTTGTTGTTTAAAAATTCCTAGATACTGATTGCAGCCTCTTAAAAACCCCATAGCCCACATCTACTTTCACCCTTGTTTCAAATCAAACAGCAGAGGCTTTTCCAAGCACCACTACACTGTAGCTTTGAAGGCTGATGGTGGCACTGCAGCACTGCCCATTCAAAATGATATTACAGAAAAGTTCACACTAACAGCTAATCACAGCATCATGCGCTAGCAGAGGAAGTCTGAACAATTTCCAGAATCATTCTTGGCCAGCCCTCCCCAGTCATACCTCTAAATGTTTCAGACTACAATTCTTATCATCCTATAAACACTGGACATGTTGGCTGGAGCTAATGAGAGCTTAGAGTCCAAAAGATTTAAATGCACAGGCTAGAATCCTGACTAAAAGGACTCAAAAACCACCCAGACAGCTTCAGCTACTGGATGATATAGAAGCATAATAAACAAACAAGATGGTCAGTATTATTTAGGAGAGTCCGGAGTTGTGCTGCCACCATCTGGAACAAGTGGAAGATTTGCTTCAGGCTGTTATCCAAAATAGTGAGATCTAAGAGGGTGCCTTTAATGGTGGTCCTAGCACACTTCATATCCTTGCTTCCTTAAAAGCATCCACAATTCCTCCACATAGCCACTTAATACTATTCTTGTTGCCTTGGCTAGCCAGGAGTGGCAAGCATTGAGAAAGTCTGCCTCTGACTGTCAAGCATACTTAGGCAGAAGTAGTCCATGCATATTCATAACAGGATAAGCAGAGGCCAAGGACACATCTGAAGTTCCACTTAAAGAGAAGCTTATGGGAGGATACAAGCACAAGCTCGGACCATAAGATTGAACTGCAACAGCGATAACGCCACCCTTCTCATCCAACCAGATTTCCTTCAGAGACTTGGTTGACTTGTACATTCAGGATGAAAGCTTAGATGGTCGCTGCCTTACTTCCTCCAGCAACATTGAAAAATGTAAAATGTTGTTGCCAAAGTTGTCTGATGTGTGTTGGCTCAAGTGTCCAATCTTCTTTCCTGTATATGTCCATCCAATACAGTACATGCAGAGTGTAGCATCTACCGCTCCCCTCAACCCTTCTGGGCAGACCCTCAAAATACACCCAGGCTCTCACACCTTCTGTTCTACAGCCAGAGATGTCTGTGCACCAGTTATAAAATACAGCATCTTTCTCCTTTTGTTGTAGAAATAGTAGGGACATTTTACATATTTGATAAACCCAGATTTATAGGGAGCTGTAAGTGATTACAGCCTCCAACAACAATATCTACATTTGCACTTAATAATTTAAGCAAGGCTTTCTGTCTGTTTTAAAGAATATTATATAAGAAGCCATTTACAGATTCATTCATCACAACTATTACTGAAAGTAAATTTGATAGAGGAGACTAAAGTGTGTACCTGCTCTCCAGAACATGCCCATGAAGGCTTACTGAAATTAATCCAAGATGCTCTTTCCCCTTCCCCACTTCTTAGTCAAATATGTGGGTTATGGGAAGGATTATGATAGAATGGCTTGAGAATCCACATTTTAGTAGTACAGTCTATAGTATTCCATCATATACAGCATCTGCACTTAGATGGTATGAAACCCAACCCAAGCAGAATTAGGAAGGCACTTGCATTTTCCCAGGTAAGCACAACAGAGTTCATTGTACTGAAGTCTGAAGAGGAAAAATAGACTCTTTACAAATTCCTTAATGCTAGAAGTCATGCTTATATTTAACGATGCTGGCTTTTGTGAAGGTATTTTTATCCAGCTAGGGTATACCACAATATAGTTCCCTTACAGCACAGTAAAGATTCCCAGAAATAAAAACAGTGGATTACTGCTCTCTAATTTCACCTTTTGGCTTCTTAGCAAAGTTCAGCCTTCCAAACCAAGTCATTGTAAGTGTGTAAAGCCTGTACAGTTTTAGTGTTTTCTGCAGGTGAGAGTTTACCTTTAACATTCCATTCTCTCAAGTTACTTAATCCTTCTTGTTAACTGCTCTTTTATTCAGTAAGTTAAGGCCAAGCACTGAAAGGAGTGCCTCAGAAATTCTTGTTTCTTGGTATAGAAGCCTCTAAAAGTTAATCTCCAAGCAACACATAAGGCTCATGAGTACAGTGTTAAGTACAGCTGAACTGGTACTTGAACCCTTCCCATTCTTCCACCTTTGAACTTTTAACAATCACAAATCTTCTCCAACACATTGGGCTATTCCACTCTTTCAGTTTCCCATAGAGACATAAATTCAATTCAGACATTCATGATTTGTGGACAATAAACATGAGAGGAAGGGGAGTGCAACAGCTCCACATCCTCTAACACAGGGGTCCTCAAACTTTTTCAACAGGGGGCCAGTTGAAAGGCAGCGGCAGCAGCAGTGGGCGCGGGCCGGTGAGGTGGGGACACCTGCAAGTGTGGGCCGGTGAGGCAGTGGTGGCAGGTGCGCACGCGCGGCGAGGCAGCCGCGGACATGCATGGCGAGGCGACGGCTTGCTCACTCGGACTTGCTCACTCGGAGATCGTTTTCTCCGAGTGAGTCCAAAACGATCTCCAAGTGAGCAAGCCACTGCCTCGCTGCACACACAGTGAGGCGGCGGCAAGCACACGCGTGGCAAGGCAGGCAGCGGCGGGCATGGGGAGTCCAAAACCTCTGAGGTGGGCCAGATAAATGGGTATGGTGGGCCAGATCCGGACCGTGGGCTGTCATTTGAGGACCCATGCTCTAACATGTGGAAGAGGAATGCATGAAGAGGAAAATATTTTAAATACATGGGAGCCCTCCACACAATCCAGAACACAGGTTTTCCATGACTCTCCCCTTCTCAAACTCACCTTCCATGTACAGAGGAGGACGAAAGTGTGTATGTGCGTGTGCACGCGCACGCACGTGCATGCCCACTATCCACATATTAGGGATCCCAAATAGTGTGTGCTCACTCTCCACATAGTAGGAATCCCCATATAGGGCTATAAACTACCTCAGAACAGCAGTCGGAAAGAGACTTGCAGAAGTGAGAGATTCTCTATGCTGGCTGGCACTTCTTTTACATCTGTAAGGGTATTAATTCCAACCATTTCAATGTACTTCTAGCTGGCTGCATGTTCATCCCAACTGCCACACTCTTAACAGTGCCAAAATTATGTGCATCTGGAAAAGTAGAACTGAGCAGTTAAGGAAGCTGTTATTCATGAATTTTAACAGGCACCTTCATGTCAAGATGGTTGACAGCATTTCCCAGTTTGATGCCCTCCAGATGTTTTGGATTAAAACTGCAAGTATTCCTAAACATTGCCCAAACTAGCTGGGAAAGATGGGAATTGTTCAAAACCTGAAGGGCACTTGGTTAGGGAAAGGTTGATCTATAATCAGATATGCTGCACTGACATGGATGGCACTCTTCTAACCCTGAAGCTAGTTAGTTGCTCTGGGAGAGAAGACCAGACCAAAGTGCCACCCAATTGCCCTCAAGAAAAGGCATCACTTTTTTTCCTCCTAGAATGTGCTACCACTGTGAGGAACTGAAGTGCTGAAAAGAAGCCTAGAAATCCAGTTGATGCAATGCCAAATCCTTTCTGACCCTTCTATTATGTAGGTCAGTACCATATTGGTGATGCTATATCCCCCTCTATTGAAAATTACAAATCAGGTTTTTTTTAAAAGCTCTGTTTATATACTAGCATTGTACTTATATCCTACCCTTTCTCCCATCGAAAGTGTGGCCAGGGTTTTTCCTGCTTTATCTTCACAACAACGCAGTAAGGTAGGCTGAGAGACTGACTGGCCCAAAGCTATCCAGTAAGCATTGCAGGTGATCAAGAGATTTGAACACAGGTATTCTTGGATCTAGTTCAACACACTAGACTAGCTCACTCTTATCATACAGACATTTAGGGCTAAACAATATGACAGCAGATACCTCAAATGGCAGAAGCAAGCTATGTGCAGTATTTGGGCTCTTACACAAAAAGGCATAAAGACAGATAGACAGATGACAAAAACCCTAGCAAATCAAGGTACACAGCTACACAGGCTTAGTTTGATGGAAGGCAAGGCAACCTATAAAAAGGATATCCATGTCTAGCCAGTCAGTGTGGCACCATTTCCTTGCATGTCATGACATGCTGCTGCTAACAAGTATGGATAAAGTAGTACAACTGCGTATTGCATAGAGGCATCAAAACTGTCCAACCTGGCACCCTCCTGGCATTCAAAACTACCATTCTCATAGTGTCTTTGCCATGGCCATGCTGGCTGGGGCTGATGGAAGTTGTAGTCTAAAATTTCTTATCTTTTAGATTGGAATGTCTGGACAAGGCTGCTTCTTAAGTCCACCATTGGAATACCAAGCTTTTGGAGTCACTTCAACATCCCAAACTCAGTGTTTTGTCAAGAAGCCCAAAACAACACCAAGGCAGCACAATGAGTATGCAGTCATTTAAGAGTAGTGATTACAAAAATACAGAGGAAGAATTGCCACAGCCAGAGGAATTAGAATGATCTGTATAGCACTTTGATTGCTATCTCAAAGAAAAGGAATTTGATAGGCCACCTTTCCTTTTATGTAGGCTTCTCATCTTACCCCATTTCTCTAATAGTACTGAGATATTTTAAAGGGAAATTGTTCTCATTTTGGCCACTACTTTCTATTTAAATCTATAGCACACCTGCAAGTGTGGATTCCCTGAAGTTAAGTCTCTCTAAACAAAGCCATCCTGTT